TAGCTGGGCGTGATGATGTGCACCTGTAGTCCCAGCTACCTGAGAGGTTGAGGTGTAAGGATCACTTACACCCAGGAGGTCAAGGCCTCAGTGGATCGTGGTCATGCTACTGTACTCCAGCCTGGGCAACAGAGTGAGATCCCAACTCAAGAAAATAAAAATAAAAATAAGGTGACTAGCCAGGCTCGGTGGCTCAGCCTGAATCCCACGCCTTTGGGAGGCTGAGGTGAGTGGATTGCCTGAGCCCGCAGGTTCGAGACCCGCCTGAGCAACTTGGCGAGACCTCATCTCTACAATAAATAAAAAATAAGCCAGGCGTGGTAGCGTGTGCCTGTAGTTCCAGCTACTTGGAAGGCTGAGGCAGAAGGATCACCGGAGCCCAGCAGGTCAAGGCTGCGGTGGCCGGGAGCAGCCACTGCACTCCAGTCTGGGTGATAGAGTGAGACTCCATCTCAAAAAAAAAAAAAAAAAATAAGGTGACTGACCCTAATCCCACTCATGAGGGATCTGCCCTCATGACCTAATCACCTGCCAAATGTCCCACCTCCTAATGCACATTGGTGATTAGGTTTCAACATATGAATTTTGGGAGGACACAACTATTCAGTTCATTGCAATATAAAACAATAACTATAAAACTATATTGTTGGACTTATAAATATGTACTACATGCAACAATTATAGCACAAAGGAGGGGAAGAGAAGGAAGTTATTAGAATAAGGATTTTCTATTTTACTAGAATTAAATTAGTACTAGCCTGAAGCAGATTATGATAATTTAAGATATATCCTGCAATCCCTAGAGCAGCCATCAAGAAAATTACCCCAAAAATAAAAAGGAATAATGGAATTGAAATGGTATGCTGGGGCCAGGGATAGTGACTCACACCTGTAATCCCAGCACTTTGAGAGGCCAAGGCAGGGGTATTGCTTGAACTCAGGAGTTCAAGACCGGCCTGGGTAGCTTAGCTGTGATTGTACGATTGCACTTCATCCTGGGTGACAGAGTGAGACCTCAACTCAAAAAAAAAAAAAAGGCTGGGCGCAGTGGCTCCGCCTATAATCCCAGCACTTTGGGAGACCAAGGTGAGAGGGTTCGAGAACAGCCTGGGCAACTTGGTGAGTCCTTGTCTCTACAATAAATCACAAAAAACTGCCAGGCATGGAGGCATGCATCTGTGTAGTTCCAGCTACTTGGAAGGCTGAGGCAGAAGGATTGCCTGAGCCCAGCAGGTCGAGGCTGCAGTGGCCGTGAGCCTGCACTCCAGCCTGGGCGACAAGAGTGAGACTCCAACTCAAAAAAAAAAAAAAGGTATGCTAGAAGATATATGTTTAAAATGGAGGTATACAAATGTTCATTAGGCATTTATATACCTAATCCTGAATTGTATCCCACATATTCAAAATAAAAATAAAATAAAAAATAAAACGGAGGGCAGTAAAAAAAGAACAGAAGAACAAAAAAGGACACAGACATCGAAAACAAACAGCAAGGCAGGTATGAATCCAATCATATCAATAATTACATTAAATATGAATGATTTAAATACTCCAATCAAAACTCAGAGATTGTCAGACTTCTATTACAAAAAAAAAAACCCACACAAGCTCCAACTACAAGTTAAACACCTTAGTGTTTAATGACACAAATAGATTGGAAGTAAAATGATAGAAAAAGATATACCTTGAACACAGTAACCACATGTGAGCTGAAGAGAGTATACTAATTATCAGATGAAATGACTTTAACACACACAAAAAGGTTCTGGAGACAATGAGGAACATTTTATGCTGATGAAGCGATAACAATTCTAAACACATGTGTACTTAACAACCAAGCCCCAAAACACACAGAGCAAAAACTGACAAATTGAAAGGGAGAAATAGACTCCTCCAGCATTAATGAGAGTTCAAAATTCCACTCTCAAGGATAGAACAACTAATCAGAAAATTAGTAAGGATACAGAATCCTTGAACAACACTGTAAGCCAACTTCAGCAGGCAGCAGACACTCCCGCTGCTGTCCTGCCCACTGTGCCCTTCATGACGTGTCTTCTCTTTAGTAAATCTACCTTTCTTAATTCATGTCTGTCTTGGTGAGCACTTTCACCCCTGTGACTCTAGCCTACCTAGCCTGCACACACAGCATTGATTTTTAAAGATGTAGGTATTGTCTTCTAGCTGCGCCCGCTTTCATATCTGTAACGATTAGGCCCGAAAAACTGCAACTGCTTTTTAACTCTGTTCCCTAATGGACTCTGCCCTGAGTTCAGTGATAAAAAAAAAAAAAAAAGCCGGGCTCGGGG